GAAACCACGGTCAGAAGTTGATTGCCCTCATGGGGTAGTTTCTTCAGTCGAATGTTCAACCAAAGTGAGAAAGGAAAACCCATCACGAGGTCGCCTTGTCCTCACACTTCACCACGCGCCAGCCGCGGCTTTCCGCTGCCTGAGCTACCACCTGAGCCACCCCAAGTACCACCCCCCCACCCCAAGGGCTGGGAGGTAGCCTAAGGCCAAATAAAGCTAGTAAGGCGAAATAAGGCGCGAACCCTTTGGCACGGCTTTGGGACTAATTCTCATGCGATTTGTTGCCCAAACATGTTTGAGGGAGCCTCTATTACATATAGCCATGTGTACAAATCGGAAGTTTAAGTATCACCGATGAAAGGGACACTGGATCAATGACACCTTGCACAAAGGTCCAGGGAAACCCATTGCCCCCCCCCCAAAAAAAAAGGAAGAATATATTTTGTGCTGGGCAAAATGGGACTCCAGGAGTCCAGCCTGGTTGACCAAGCATGAAGACAAACTTCAGATAAACCCTGGTTGATTTTTGATGTCGGGGGCCTAAGGGATTCAGGAACCACCTTGCAGTGCCTATAGGGTGGGGGGTGTTGCCCCCGGCAAACAAAGAGTGATGGATTCCCCCCCAAGCCAAAACCAGGCAACCAGGGATTGACTAGTCAAGGGTTTAATTGGCTGGTTTTGCAATCCTTCTCAGGATTTCTTGCCTCTTTGCAACCATCCGAACAGCAAACCAACAGATTCTCCTCAATTTGACCACCCTTCCACCTGGATAAACCAACACCGGGTTGGTTTTCTGAGCTGAGGGTAGGAAGCTAGCTGCCTTCTTGCCCTCCGCTGGCAAGCCAACGGGCCCTCTGGCCCTCCCCCCAAGCTCAGGCTGACGTAAGGTGAGCAAAGAATCATCCGAGTTTATGACCCACTGTTTGAAAAAATGACATGTTGCTTGAACCGCGATACTGTGAAAGATCCAAGATCACATCAACGAAAACACAGTCGCAATTATCATAGTGTTTGTTGTCCCTGGGGGGGTGCTGCCGCCAATCAATAGAGATATCAACATGCTTGTCTGTTGTTATGTGCCGAAAACGACAGGAAGGACACTCAAAGAAAATTAACCACCGATCTATTCAGCCGGGAGAAGGGGATGAACAGACTCTGAGGGCTTCCGCCTCGTAGTCGCTGTGAGAGGCATTGAAGCTCATCGGGCGACCCTTCCTGCGTGGCCTGCGACACAGTTTTGAGTACTACTCTCCCCTGCAGATTGACGTGGACAGGGTTCCGTTTTTTGACTACCCCAAAGTCGACTTAAATGATTTCCCCAAAAGGGAAACCCCTGGGTTTAAGTCGAATTTGGTAGTCAAAAAACGGAACCCTGGACGTGGAACCCAACCACTAGAGGAATCTCCTGTTTGGGGGGGAGCCTGCTTTGGGGTTCGATTTTTGATTTGCAGGGGCGCAACCTTGTCGGTAACTCATTCGATTCCCACACATCCAGATTTAGAATTTGGATCTTCCCCAAGACCCAAGAGACAAAAAGGCAGTGGGTGGTTCAGCTATCCACAAGCTTGTCCTGAGAGGAGCCAGGGACACTCAAATCCCCGTTGCGGGGAGCAAAAAAGCCCCAATTAAACGAATCCAAACTGAGACGTTGGTCACCTTTTGGCTACCAAGGTGAAGAGACTTTCCTCATTCATTCGCTTGCAAAGTGAGTCTAGGAATCATGGGCTCGGGATGGCTCGGGCTTCAGACCTACGGCGATATGCCAAGATTGTCCCGGCGGCAAACAGAGATTTCTGTAAAAAGTGGTACCAGGACAGTAAAAGCTGACCCTTGGAGTATCCCCAAAAAAATCAACCGGTTCCTGGAACTAAACGAGCGCTCGGCCAAAGAGAGACCCCAATGAATAATGCACGGCCCAAGCACTAGGAGGGCAGCCTTCGCCAAACACAAGCTTTCCAGAGCTTCTGCTCGTGCTTTCTACAAACTTTCAGGCTTATCCTGGTATCCATAGGGGTCATCCATCCATGTGAAGGACTTCTGAATTCACTGTAGGGCGGCGTTTCCACCAATGAAAGTATTAAGTGGTACAGAAGTTTCATGTCTCCAACATCCAAACCTCAACCAGTATCATGCACGCTTCACGCGCCTTCCGAAGGAAGCTTCTGCGATTGGCGTCCTACGCATTGGTACGGCTCTCGCTCAAGCACCATGTTAGGAGATCTAATGCCCAAAGCACGCATGGACAGTGCAGCAATCTCTACAGTATTCTGTAGAGACATAGACCTGTTCTGGGACAAATTGCCAAATATTACATTCATCCCACTCGCCATTCCGGCGAACCTAGAAGATATTTTCAACCAGCTTGGCGCTCTTTCTGGCTATCGGGGGGGGGGGGTTGTCAAAAAGACGGACTTCTGTGCGTACCCTCTGAAAATTCGGCACGAAGTAAACACCTTCGAAGTTCCAAGAAACAGGTCCTGATTTTGAGATAAGGGTGTGTTTTTGAGGTACCCGTTTCAGGTTGAAACAAAAACAAAGGAAATCACAAGGAAGTCCACCATTGTTGGGGTCCTACTTTGACGCCCCGTGCCCACGAGATTCGCTCTGAGCCAAGGACCCACTTGGACGATTCGAGGGGCCTCATTGCGCAGACCCTTTGGCCCAAACAAGGCAGTACCCCAAGCCCCGAAACGCACGTGGGCCATTTCTGCCTCAAACTCATGGTCCATAGGTGTCCTCTTGGCTTCCCTTCAACTAGCAACCAAAAGCGGGTCCACCGAATTTGATTGAAGCAGCTCCCCGTTTCGGTGGTTTCCAGCGCCTCGCTCCGCCCCTGCCAGCGCGGCTGCGCTCCGCCGAGCTCATGCCGACCAGGGCTCCCCGCTTTCCTTGTCGCTCTCCGGAGAGGGAGCTCGAGACCTGAAGGCGAGGGGCTCCTGGGAACAACTTTGTGAGGCCCAGTGGCCAAGGCATCCGTTTTCAGATTGAAACGAGTTGAAAGGAATCGGACAAATCTCCCCCCCAAAAAAAGGGCGCCACTGGGCAAGTCGGGAAGAAGGTATCTTGAAATGTTGGGCAGGGACTCCTGAATGGACACAAGCTTTCATGAGACTCTGTATCCTTGTTGGGGTTGTTTTAAAGAGGGGAAACAGAAAAGGGGTGCGATGTTTTAGGTTCCCCAGTTAAGGATGACTCCAAATGTCAGCATATTACTAGGAAACATGGACAGGCAATGACTCCAGCACCTTCATGGCCCCTCAAGGTCACCACTAGGTAGCTATCCACTCGCGATGGCTGCGAATGGGAACTGGTCTAAACCAGGAACCCCTCACCCAAATCTGCAGGGGCTTTTGTTGCCTTTTGACTCCCTGCAAAGCTTATTGTGTTTTGCCTGCGGGAAAGCCCACCTAATCCCGTTTATTCCACAAACAGCAAAGCTTATGTTGCCGTTCGACTCCCTGCAAAAAACAAACAAACAATGTTCTTGTTTCGTCAGTGGGCAAACCGTCCTTTTTCCAATTTTTCGAACATGACTCCGTCCAAAATCTGCAAAGGATATGTTGCTGTTTGACTCCCTGCAAACGTCATGTCCCATTCTGCAATCATATTCTAAGCTTCCTTTCCATTTGCCTAAGTCCCCAAAAGAAACAAAAACACAAACATTTCCATGAGTCATAGATTCTCTTTAAAACCAACAGGGGGGGAAAAAAAACACATCCTTAAACTAATTGAAGTGAATGTTGCTAAAGGAGAGCAGGCATCCGGGTTCCACTCGCTCCAAGCACTGGGCGAGGCCGATCTCGGCGAGTCCTTCGCGCGAGACCTGAGGTCGGGGTGGAACATGAGACATTTGGGTAACCCACTCAATGAGTAACTAGGGTTCTGAGAATCTCCCTGAGCCACGGTCAACATTGCCCAAACAAGCAATGAGGCATTTTCAGACCGGGGGTCTATTCACGTCGGGGCTGGGTAAACCAGGCGACACCGGTGCCATTTCTAGAGCTGTTTTTCTTAACGCAAACACCCGCAGCCGTAGCCAATATTCATGGTGCTCAGGTGCTTCCAAGTGACAAAGCAACATAGGGTGGGCATCCAGGATTTGTTTGGGAAATGAGGTGCCCCATTTACTCCCAAACTAAGACTGGACAAAATGTTAAGTTGCTCTCTTGTAGACACTTTGTGCTGCAGCAGTCGAACGACTTTCCAAATGTCAGGAGTCAATGAATCAGTTTTCAGAATCACGGCGCGCAACTTGCGAAATGGGGCGGGCAACATTCAGGAATCAGGGGGTCGTTTCGGTCAAGGGGCCAATTTACCCCTCTGTTGGGTACTCTCTCACATGAGTCATAATCAAAACCTGGTAGTAAACTTGTCTACCCAGAACCATGTATAGAAATAAGAAGGCGGCCGCAACTATTTCTGGTTGGGACTGTCCCTTACTAACCTTCATCTACCCGAATCGGTTTTGATTGTGGCTCACATGGCTTTGTGGGTAAATCAAGTCAACGTTTGAGCCTGATACCATGAACACCAGGCTTCGGGGCCCCAACTCTGACCCCCTGCACCACTTCCCACCCCAACAAGACTCAGATAGTTGGTAATCAGGATTTGATTCTCTGTAGATATATTTATTATGTCTTCCCTGTTATCTACTGTAGTAACTGGATGCACTGGGGGAGCCAAACTCGTGGGCCCGGTCCGGATGTGCCCAGTGACGGAACGGACCCTGGCGGCGCTTCTTTCTATGCATTGCATCGGCCTTTCGCTTGCTAAGGCATGGCATGCAGCCAGCGACTGCCGGTGCAAGCGTTCAAGCGATGTGGGTACAGGGCTTGCCCGTTAACCACCTTTTCAGAAGTAAAGGGCCAAATGGCTTAACCACTTTTCAGGGGTCCCTATAAATACCGTCCTAACTATGTGAGTACGTATGCGGCAACTTTTATGAAGGTATGTATGTTGGTAGAAAGGTTTCATTTCAAGATGTTTCCTTTTAGTAAGAAAGGGCAATACTTTGGTCACAACTAAGAAGAGAACTTGGCACTTCACTCCGTGATAGTGCCGATCTCTATAAGCACCTTGCCAGTTGCGTGGCCTTGCTCAAGGTACTCATGTGCTTTGTCAACTTGATCGAGTCCAAAGAAGCGGTCCTCAGCAGTCGAAATCTGAAACATAGCACAGGTGTTTCCTAAAACCAGCTGAAAAGGGGCCCGCCATATGGCTGTGGCAAAAAAAAGAAGGTACCAACATGGCCCCCTTGGTAAATGGAACCAAAGACCAACACGTGCGTAACCCGAGCTCCTTCATTTTGAGCAACAGCCATATTAGCAGCCGCAGTCATTGACCCCTTTTCAAGGGAAAAAGGGAGCCTGTGGCTCGTGAAGACGGCATCAATTGCTGGACATTTTGAACAGGGAGATGGGTGTGAGACAACATCAAGCAAAACACTTGTACGTCTCACTCCAAGCTGATTTATTAACTCTGTGTTCCAAAAATGCAACACTTGGGACATGAGAAAAAAAGAAGAATAACAACAAAAAAAAGAAGCTGCGCGACTGTCGCGCTTCCGCCATTGGGTCTGGGGATCCGTATTTGCACAAAACGGCAAAACCTGATTTCTCCAAAGCATGGGAGGAAAGAATGGGGGCGGATCAACCTTTGGAACGATGAATTTCCGAAACCCACTGATGCCTTGACAAGAAACAGATAGGAGGAGGCCCAACCAAAAGACATCAAGAGAAGGAAGGACCTTTCCCTTTCAGCACGCCATGCCAATCTTCAGGTGATTATCAATACCACACAGAACTCGGCGACCATTCCGGTCCAAAGCTGCGGTTGTCGCAAACCTGCACAAGTTCTCAGAATTCGGCAAGTGATAAAAACATTGCCTAAGCCGAGCACCTTCATCATGCCCGAAGTCGTGCGATTTCCCACCGGGTAGTAAGCCAAACGATGCCAAGAGGCCACCACAGGCTTGATGAGGCCTAGCGCGCAAAACTCGCGAGGATGCGACTGGCTGTGAGTGCACATTCCACCTGCTACCTCTGGTATGTGAACCTGCCAGGTTTGATGTGTTGTGAGGCAACTAAATGTATAACTGGCCGCAATGTGAAACAATCCACGTTATTTTGTCTATATCCTTGACCATCAAAAGCTGATGATGTTCTCCTGCGACAATGCTATTCAGCCTATGCATTCTTCAAGTAGCACAAAGCCACAGAGACGCACAAACACAGAAAAGCACAGACGGCAAACACGCAAACACACAGAAGCTCAAACACGCACACACACACAGACACCCACACCATTATGAACTCCAAAGGTAGCAGAATCGCCAGAACCCGTTTTGTTTTTGGGCGCTGCTCTAATATAGCAACAAGTAAATTCCCGTCGTCCAAAAACGGCGAGTTTTTCGCGCACCTGAATCCACCCAGCTGCCAATGGACCGCAGCCCTTGTGCATCTGGTTGCACGGGGTCGCAGTGATAGTGTACTCCCACGCCTAAGGCGCCAAACGGGGTTGCTCAAGGGAAACCGGCAGTTTCAACCAGTGACCGGCGAAAAGGAACCCTTTTTGCGGTTGACCATTTTGAGTGGGGCAACGCCAAACAAGCAGAGAAGGAGGTGCCACTGAACAAATGGACCCACGATTTGAACTCCGCGCCACAGAAAAACCAGCTCCAACGGACCATGCACATTTAAAATGTTAGGTCAGACATGCAGCCCCTAGCACGTTGGCACTCCTTCCGCTGCAAACCACGGCCAAAACTATGCAAAGCACCAGAACCTGGCCCATCCTGGCCCACCTTTCCAAATCCAAGCACGTCTTGCACTGCAGTGGGGAATCATAGAACCGAATGTTGTCACACGGCGCTTGATGTCCGCCACAATTGTCAAGGCAATCTCCGCCAACTGTCAAACAGTAGCTGCAAACACAACGCAGCAACAACCAAAGCAAAGGCTCGTGGACAATTCTCTGACGGCTTCACTTGTGCCAAGCTTGGAGGCCGATTTGCAGTTTCACATGTTTCGTCAAAAAGACAAAAACAACTCTACACTACTCCCGCTAAAAAAATGATATAACACCCCGAAAAGGTGTCCTTTAAAAAATTGGACAGGGCGGGGGCATACCACACTGAGGCGGCAGCCGAGCAGGTCTGCCAACAGGCTGTAGCCCCACTTCCTCACGTTCGACACGGACAACGATAGGCTAGTTCCTTTCAAGAGGGCAACGACACGCATTTGATTCACCATTTGAGTCACCCTCTGTTGGGTACTCTCTCACGTGAGTCACAATCAAAACCTGGTATAATAATGGTCTATCCAGAACCATGTAAAGAATTAAGAAGGCGGCCGCAACTATTTCTGGCTGGGACTGCCCCTTACTAACCTTCATCCACCCGGGATTTGATTGTGGCTCATTTGTGCAAGTTGAAATTATGATCCGGATTCAACATGTTGGAAGTGGAAATCCATGCATCTCTTGTTGTATACAAGAAGGTCGTGTGAGAGGCTGTGCTAAGACGTCCTCCTGATTCTCGCCCAAACGGGACCGAAAGAAAAAGCTGAACCAACATTGAGAAGACAAGTGAGTCAATAGCAACACCTGGTATGATGCTTCCCCGAACAAAGCCGACATCGCCAATCTGTGGTTGAGACCGTCTGCATTCTTCGAGTTTCATAAAGCGATGGGTATGTCGCGGACTGTCACGCCACTCGCAGGGCTGCGCTCCTCAGGAACGGCTTCACGATGAAAATCGGGTTCTGTTCCCTGGTGTTGTCTTCCCAATCACTGCTGAGCACATTGATGTAGTGCCCACCTGCACTTTTTCCGGACGCGCTTCCCGCTCGCAGGCGGCCAGACTGCACAGACCCATAATGGAAATCCAGTTGATTTATACGCACCTGGTTGATGCTGGGCACATGTCTCATTCTAGAGGAACCGTTGACTTACATATGATACATGGGCGTCTTCTTTTGAGGGGACCCCTTTTTGTTGTTTTAAGGAAACACTAAAAGCACAACCACCATTTTGGGGGTCACCTGAAGAAAGCATACTATTATGGGGGAAACGCGTCAGGCCCAATCATCTACCAGGTAGATTAATCCGGAATAAACATTCAAAAGCTCCGTACACAATGAAATAGGAGCCGAATCAATTCAGTGACTGTTCGTCCACAAGATATAATCTGGCCAAAGGATCACAATTTAAGGACCGATTCGAAGCCGTTTGAGTCATTGCTCTGTGACATTCTGTCAGGAAGTGTTCCATGCAGACATCGCAAGCTGCTCTGATGTACGAGGGTTTCGGCAATGGGGATGAATGGTTCACAACAACCCCATTCATGCCTTGTAATTATGTCCTTTGTTGGTTGTGCAAACTAAACTGCCCACCCGGCAATCTAAGATTCCAAAGCCGTAATCTGCAGGTAAAGCTGATATGTGCCCGTGTGCGTCTGCGTGCCCGTGTGCGTTTGTGTGCGTGCCTGTGTGTGCGCATGTCTGTCTGTGTGTATGTGTGTCTCTGTGTCTGTGCGCGTGTCATGTCTGTCATGTCTGTCTGTCTGTCTCTCTCTGTCTGTCTCTGTCTGTCTCTGTCTGTCTCTGTCTGTCTCTGTCTGTGTCTGTCTGTCTCTGTCTGTCTCTGTTTGTCTCTGTGTCTGTGCCTGTGTCTGTCTCTGTGTCTGTCTCCGTCTCCGTCTCCGTCTCCGTCTCCGTCTCCGTCTCTGTCTCTGTCTCTGTCTGTCTGTGTGTTTGTCTATCGGTGTGTCCGTGTATGTGTGTGTGTGTGCGTGTTTGTGTGCATCTATATCTCTGTGTGTTGGTGGGTCTGAGTGTGTGTGTGTGCCTTGTGTGCGTGTATGTGTGGGTGCGTGTGTGGGTGTGTGACTGCCTGTGTGCTTGCGTGTCTGTGTGCGTGTGCGTGTGCGGGTGAGCGCGTGTGTGTGTGTGTGTGTGGGTGGGTGTGGGTATGTGTGTCTGTGTGCGTCTAAGTGTCCGTGTCTGTGCATGTGTTTGCAGAGAATGGCGCGCTCCCGCCTGCTTTCAGTACATTGGAACTGAGGGTCCTCTCCTCGTATTCCTTTCGCTGCAGCTGTCTGCACTTGGGCCAAAGGCCAGTCAGAGGGCCATGGCCAAAACATGTGTGTGATTCCCGCGATGTGTGAGGCCCCTATTGTTTCTTACATAATTCCTGCTTGACCAAACCTCAGGTCAGGTGCACAAAGCATAATATACGCTGTTGGATGTCGGCGAGCAAACCTTTGTCGAGAACCACCTGCAACAAGCTCAGACCGCACTGGCCAAACCAAAATGATTGTCCAAGCAAAGGAATCCCCTACCGACATCTGGCCATGGGTCAAAAGCCCGTACCCCCAATGAACATCGCAACACCCACTAAAAAAGACTGAAACGGGTTGTGCACCTATTGGTGTTGAACCACGGTCATCTGTCTGTGTCTCTCATTCAGATCCCAAGCAGTCCTGAGTCACCGTGTCCAACACGACGTCGAAGCCTCGAAGGGCATCTTCGAACTTCGTAGTTTTGTAGTCCACGACTTCGTCAGCTCCGAGACCTGAAGGCAGCTGCTTCGTTATTTGCTTTCCCGCCTGGAGAGCCATCAAAGTGAAAACCATGGTCTGAATCTTCGAGTATACCCCAAACTCATGGGAAAGACATGAATATTCGCTGTGATTTCTGACTTGGACCGTCCCCTCATCTACACTGGCTTTGATTGAGGCTTGTGCAGCGCTTGCAAAGCGCCCACGGCATCACGCAACCCACAGCAAAGGGCATCTACATGCGGCCACGTAAACACACAGCAAACAAGCTCGGCCCAAGTTAAACGACTAAGTTTGCCGTTAGAGCATTGTATTGGTCGAATACAAGGGGATCCCCCTTGGATAGTGTTTCAAAAGGGTGCTCCTTGTTTTCCCAACATTGGGGGCAGAGGGGTTTAAAAACACCATGCCAAGGAGCTTTTCACCAAGTCGGCTTTGCCAGAGCTGGCAGTAGTTGCCACATACATTCCCAGCCTGCCGGACTTGCACCGGGAGTACCATTTCGCTCAGGTTGCTGCTTCACCGTCTATGACAAAATCAAACTCAGACAGTTAGACCGAACAGATAGACGTGATCAAACCAAAGAGCAAACCATTCCAAGGTCCATTCACAGATATTACTCAAAAAACTCAGCGGCCCAAATGCGCGCTGGAGGAAAAACACTGAAACAAACAAAACGGGGCAATGAAGGGCACAGAACACCCGGGGGGTCTGACGAATTGCACATCCGCCTTTCAAGTTCCAACGGCTGCGCGCACAAGTTTGCAGAATGGGCCCTCGGTTTAGTTGAGCAACTAAGTGATGACTGCAATGCCTTTTGGCGGACAGGACTGCAAAGGACCTTACGTACTTCTCCCATGGATGCTTATTCAACCCGGGCTTTAACTGACATGTCCTCAGTTCAGCGAAGCGGCACATTCTTGCAGTACTGAATTGCGAATGAGCCCACGCCTCCTCGGATACATGATCGGAACCATTGCAGCATAACATTCTTCGCTCTGCATGAAGAACAAAGCATGGATCATAGTCTCCCAACCACAAAAGCAAAACAAACCAGTGCCTGCACCTCTCAAAGCAAAGCCAGCAAGCACAACTGAAGCAAAGCATTACGACCTGGGTGTGCCTTTTAAACGGGTCCCCTTGTTTGGGTCGTTTTGAAGAAACACCAGGCAAAAGCAGCCCATGTGCAAATGAGTTCCGCTTCCAGAACCAACCCCAGAATCATTCCCAGCTAAGCGTCCAGCCCCCGCGTGTATCAGGATCTTCTTGCCCTTGCTGCTGTCGCCTTCTCGCTGCCAGGCGCGCAGCACCGGCGCCAAGGCATGCAGACTGGTGAGGCCCACCAAAGGCAGACCTGCGGCCTGGCAAGCGAGCGGTACCAAAAAGTGGCGGATGCCCATCCTTAGTGTGGCCAAATATAACATGCTGGGGTTACGCAGGCTTCAGCCCATCAAACCCCACTTCCCAAGCTGGTCCCTCCCCCCCTCCCCCACAGACCGCACGGCAATTTGATGACGTTCCACTAAACGTAGTCTTCGGGCGGTGTCGCAAAACAGGGGTCCCAGGCTCGATTCCCCCTGCCGGCTCTTTGCTGGTTTGGGGTTCCTGCCTCCTTTTGCCAAAAACTCTGTGTTTGTGGACGTCCTAATTGCGAAAACGCTGGAAAACCCGTGTTTTTTGCGGCAACCATTGGGGAGCAAAGGGGAAATGCAAGGAAGTGCAAGGAAATGAGGGGAGGCAATAGACAGTCGACATGACGGGAAAGCAACGGGAAATGAAAGGTAAACAAAGGGGAACTGAAAGGGACATGAAAGGGACAGAAATGAAAACCAGGGGAGTGCAGGGGGAAAAGGAAAGCAAAGCACAAGGAAACCAATCGGCACGACGGGAGATGTAGGGAAATGACTCGCAACGAAAGAACGGGACATACATGGAAAATGAAGCGGACATAACGAGAAAATGTCAGGGACATGAAGGGGAAGTTGAAAGGCATGGAAGAGACATGACCAGGACATCATGGGAAACGTGTCAAGGACATAAAAGAGAAATTTTCGGGGAAAGCCAGTAGTGAGATGACAGTTCAGGGTCATGAAGGGGCAGTGCCCGGACATCGAGGCAACTCAGGGGGGACGTGACGCTGCAAGGCAGGGAGAGAGAGAGAGACAGGGAGAGAGCAGGAGAGAGAGAGAGAGAGCGAGACACAGAGAGCGAGAACGAGAGAGAGAGAGGGAGAGAGGACGACAGAACACACGAGGAAGACAAGGGAGAGAGGAAGAAAGAGAAAAGGGAGAGGACAATGTCTGCGGACTGAAACAAAGCACAAGGAAACCGCGACGGGAGATGTAGGGAAATGACTCGCAACGAAAGAACGGGACATACATGGAAAATGAAGCGGACATACCGAGAAAATGTCAGGGACATGAAGGGGAAGTTGAAAGGCATGGAAGGGACATGACCAGGACATCATGGGAAACGTGTCAAGGACATGAAGGGGAATTCAAGGGGAAAGCCAGTAGTGAGATGACAGTTCAGGGTCATGAAGGGGCAGTGCCCGGACATCGAGGCAACTCAGGGGGGACGTGACGCTGCAAGGCAGGGAGAGAGAGAGACAGGGAGAGAGCAGGAGAGAGAGAGAGAGAGAGCGAGACACAGAGAGCGAGAAAGAGAGAGCGAGAGAGAGACAGGGAGAAAGAGCGAGAACGTGAGAGAGGGAGATTGAGGAGAGAGAGGCTTGGGGGGATGGGGAGGATAGGGAGCAGAGGGAGGGAGAGAGGACGACAGAACACACTAGGGAGACAAGGGAGAGAGGAAGAAGTAGAAAAGGGAGAGGACAATGTCGGCGGACTGAGCCGGAGGCTCTAAAGTTTTGGAGCCACGGCCATAATTGACTTTCAGGGGCTCCCCACAGTAAAAGAAAATCACACCCTGCCCGAAGTTGCCCGCTGGCCTCCCGGGCAGAGATCTTCGAGGGCACATGGGCGATGATGGAGTAGTTGGTGACGATGTACTCTTGGAAAGCGCCCCAAGATTGCCCTTGCACAGAAGTTGATCCACCCCTCGCCCAGTTTTCTCTGTTTCTCCGGTGTTGGCCGATGAAAAGGAACTCCCTCATTTGCACAATCCACGTCTCACTTTCCCAAAAGGAGAACAGGGAAAACTTACTCTTTGGCCCACGGGACACATTCGCATTAGCATTGTTGATATGTTGTTTCGTATGCTTGTTTTATTTTTGTTTAAAGAAGTGGTGGAGTATGGTGTTGATATTGACCTAATTGTTGATCGAGTATTTTTTTATGGACTAACTTCAAATCATGAAAGGTGTGGCTTCACATCGTTTGACATTGGGTGTCGTGACAGTGTAGTATTCTATGACAAGACTAGGCATGTTGAAGTGGAACACAAGGGGCAAGGGCTAACAGATCCATCCTGGATAAGTACAACAGTCCGCACGTTGCGCACATCTTGGTATAATATACCAGCTGAATACAAGGAATCCTCGCGGAAGAGACCTTCATGGATGATATGGCCATGGGTCAAAAGCCCGTACCCCCAGTGAACATCCCAATTCCCACTAAAATAGGTTCTAAAATGGGTGGTGAATTCACCTACCCTAAAATGGAAAACCGTTGGTTTTGACCACCACATCCATATTGCAACCTGTGTGAGCTCACCATGGTGTCACAGTTAAAAAACCAACCCTTGGCTCCTGCAGCTCTCAGCTGTCCCGAAAGCTGCGAAGGCTCAAGTACCCATGTCCTGTTGCCCCCATGGTCCGTTCACCAAAGTGCAGGAGGGGTGTGTTGTTCAATTCAACCTCAACTTGAAAACCTGAGCGACAATCCTCAGGATCCTTTTTGCTTGATTCCCCAACGTAGACTTAAGCCTATGGTTCACTTCCCCACAACAAGCAAAAAGGAGAAACCTGTCTGGGGCCAAAAAATGAAATCCCCGTCCTTGTAAGGGCAACATGCCATAGACGGTGTCGCCGGGCTTAAAGCCTAAGACCTTCTCCCCAATCTGCTGCACCTGGCCCGAGAAGTCGTAGCCACTGACCACCGGCAGCGCGCGAGTGGCCGAGATCTGCGGGTTGCGACGCATCTTGAAGTCCACGGGGTTTAATCCCCCCGTGCCCGTCTTGATCAGCACCTCAGGCTTGGAACACGTTTACGACCAACATGCGGCGGCAAGGATAGCATCAGCCTTTGATCCGCGCTTTGGCAAAGGAATCCCCAAAATGTAGGTGATGGAGAAGTAGATGATGTCCAACCACATAACGGGGAATTACATCTGACTTTTTTGGGACGATCTGGATTGACAGAGTCGCTTTGTTTGTGACCTGGCACAATTTGTCACCCGGTTGCAAGAACGACCTGGGGAACTTGCATTCAACAATCAAACTCGAAGCTAAAAAAACATTAGCCACTCATCTTTGATTTGTCTTCGGCCTTGAACCTGGCTTGAACTGGACTCAGAAAGGAAAGCGGCTTGTTTATTCCTAAAGACATGTGAGCTGACTTGGACCCCAACTACAACAACCTGTATATGTTTGTCGTGCCCTTTAACAGGCACGCCAAAACTTCTTCCAAAAACCAGCAGCTGTGTTGCAACAAGCGTGGTAGATGTCCGGTGCTACATCCCTTGATTTACCATAAAGCAAACATAAACAGGACACACGCTTGGATAGCTTTGCTGCCAACAAAGCCAATCATCCATTTGTGAAACCTCCGCCCAGGGTTCGGCGCCTCTGAGTGTTCATGGGGGACCCTTGTGGATTGTCCGCCAGCCGCTGAGGGGAAACTGATAGCCATATGGCTGTGGGTCAAAATCCCGTACCCCCAGTGAACATCCCAATCCCTCTAAAATAGGTTCTAAAATGGGTGGTGTACCTATCCCAAAATGGTATCATTGGTATTGACCCACAGCCATCCCACCCGCCTGTGTAGGCTCGCAGCATTTCGGGCGTGGGATGACCTCGACTTGGATCACCTCCGGGCTCTGATCTTGCGGCGGGCTTGATGACCCGAACCTCGCTTTTCAACGAGTTGGTGGCAAACATTGCTAACAACCAACTGCTATAGACATCCCCAAGCATTAAACCCAAATGACATGCTGATTCCTTTAAAACACCGCTGATTGCCATGTTGAAGCAAGTGCTCGGTTGTCACCTGCAGGATGAATCTGGCCACGTGGGTCAACAAAGGAAAAGCTCCCCCGTGATGACAGTTGGGTGACAGTAGGCATGTTGCTTGAGCCACGCATCTCAATTGCGGGGCCACTAAAAAAAGCCGAAAAAATTGGAAAACCACAAACCTGCGGCTTAGGAAGTGTCTTAAACCAATCCTTCTCTGCACTATTTGTCGGCGGTCGACTTACCTCAACTGCTCTAGCCGCAGCTGCCGCCGTCAAAAAGGTGGATTCCACATCGCCCATGTGCTTTTGCAGACCAAGGGCTTTCTGCTGGGAACGGGAAGCCGGAAGGAGTGGGAGGATCATGTGGCTGTGGTTGTCAAAACCAATGGGACCCCATTTTAGGGTAGGTGAAATCACCACCCATTTTAGAACCTATTTTAGTGGGGATTGGGATGTTCACTGGGGGTATGGCATTTTGACCCATGGCCATGTCTTTGGCGTGAAGGACGAGACTGGCAACGCTTTGGACAACTGCATGAAAAGAGTGGTGCCATCGCTCTCACTTGAGTTCGTGGCCCGTGCCTTGGGCTCCCCTGGCACCCGGAATTGCGCCGCGCGCATGGTCTGCGAGGGGTCGCTCAGGGCGGGGGCATACCTTCCGAGGATTGGAACGTGGGCCAGAATGCTCGGTTGCTTTCTGCTCCCCTGCTAAAAGTCAATAACTTTTAGTGGTTTGATGGAAAACCCATTAGTTTTCAAAAAGTTAAAGTCCTAACATCCAAGAAACATGCACCAAAGAATGTACTTGTTTCTTGTCTTTGTGGGGGGGCGGAGACAGCACCCACTTGGGTATGCGGCAAAGTGTGGATAGCCCCATTTTTTTTGTATCCAAAAGGTACCCTACGCACACTCCCATTTAAGACTACAGCAAAAACAATGCAGATTTCGTAGCTGGCCAAGGCCTGATGAATGACTCCCTGAGGTGGTAGAATTCATAGGTAAGCACCAGGAGGACGAGCGTGGCGTTCAGGCAAAGGACTTTGAGGATCGACCAGATCAGCGCCATGGCTCGAGTAGTTCACTCAGAAAGCAAACGCAAACAGGCACATCTGGCAGGTTGTGTTGCAAGGCGCAAGGCAGTGTCGGTTTGTCTTCCACCAACGCCCTTCACTTGGTTCTTCAACACCCTTCACTTGGTTCCATATGTTTGAACTGGCTTAGTAACTTAGGAAATAGGTGCTTGCAACCCAGCTTACACCTTGGTGAGGGGCATATCCCATGGCCAAAAAAAGAGATCTGTCGCTGTGTGGCAACCGTTCCCTTATCTGTCAAGCCAAGCTGCATCCAAACCTCCCGGGATGAAACTCGCCCAAAGATTTTGCGATGCATGTATATGTATGACATATATGATATCATATTATACTATACTATAGCATACTGTATTATAATATGTTATACTATACTATATGTTACAACATAGTATATCATACTATGTGATAATATATTATATCATATTGTATGACATTGTATTACATTATTGTTCCATGTGTGTGTGTGTCTGTTGCACCCTGGGATTGCGGGTTCCTCTGTGAAATTGCCCGATTTCCTGCTAATCCTAGGGCGTAATACCAAAAGAACATGCGTAGAACATACTTCCGAACGGAAACATCCATGTCAAGTCCTGAGCGATGAGGCCCGAGTGGGGTCTATAGGGTCTATGAGCATCCCCTACAACTCTGCGTTTGATTCCGTGGAAGCATTAGTGTTTCAGGAGGTCCGTTTCTGGTGGCTGCCTTGAAATGCGAAGGGAAAGTAAGCCCAGCAACCATTCCCCACAATGCTGAAATACTGGTGGAAGGTAATTAATTAATAACATTCCTCGCGGAGAACAAGCCCTAAAAATCCCCAACAAGGGACGGGCACAACAGCTGAAAAATGATACCTGACTCCAAGTCAAGTCAAGAGAATCTTTGAACAACCGACCCCCTCAATTGAGTTGGGCTGAATCAGACTTACTGGGTCATGCCAAATATGAACATAGCGTCAAGAAAAATAAGCGCAAATACGGCCAAAAAGGCCAACTACGGCAATGTACGCCCAATAAGGCCACATATGCCCAATAATGGATGATATTGCCAAATCACCCCAAGCAAAACCAAATGTCGAATTTTCGAATACCCAACTGTGGCCAAGGAAATCCAGGTATACAAATGGCTGTGGCTCAAAAATCAAGAGCTAGGGTTACGCGGTTTTAGTCTTTGGTTCCATTTACCAAGGTGCCATTTTGGTACATTTATCTGGCATCCTTATTTTACCCTGGTCAAAGTCACCCCCGCTCAGTGGTGTGTTTTCGGGAAACACCCCCCCCCATTTTCTGACATAGAGAAAAAACAAAAAACAGAAACCGTGAAAATAATGACCTCAGTGTATTTGAGCCACAGCCATATGACTTTCAAAGACCAACTGTCCAAGACCTGGGTTGAGCGTTGTCGCGTCTGGTCCGTTCCCGGCTGAGGCTGAAGGCGACATGGATGGTGACCTGTCCTCCGTCCACGAAGGAAGTCCTCCAGCGGCTACCATCCGGCAAGGACATGGGTGCGTCGCATCGTCCCCCCAAAGCAGTTGGTGTCCTTTTGGTTTCCTTTCGGCTTCCTTTTGACTACCAACCAAGCGGGGTGGGACCGTAGCAATCCGCAACGTTCAGGCCTTATTTGGCAATTTTAATATGTTATCGTTCCAACATCTGCTCGCAGCTCTCGCATAGGCAATGGCTCCAAATCGGGGACTTTTTCCAAACAGGGGGATGGCTGAAACATGCTTGAAAGGGAAAACAAGGGGAACCAACCAGCTGGAGGTCCTTCCTTTGAGACACACTCAGAGGCGCACGTATACGTCACAATCAAAACCTGGTATTAAAGGGGTCTACCCAACTCCATGTCAGTCATAATCAAGATTTGGTACTAAAATGGCGTAGCCAAAACCATGCAAAGAATTAAAAGGGCGGCTGCACCCATATTGGGGCTAGCCTTTACTAACCCTCATCTACGTGGGTTTTGTTTGTGGCTCATGTTGGCGGATATCTGAAGCTATGTTTTTGCCACTCGTATTTTTCATCTGGCCAAAATTCGGATCCCAAACCAGCGATAGTGGCGGCTGGCCTTCTTCGACTTCGTATGTTTCTTCATCTGCCGCGTCCTGCGCCAATCGACGCGAAGCCACCAACAGAGCTTTACCCTCCCACCAATTCACATGGAACCCGACAGGGAGGTCCTGGAAGACCATTTTTATTTTAAAGGGATCCCTTGTCAGGTTCCATGTTTATTGGTGGGAGGGTACTTCATCCGACTGATGGATAAGGCCCAAAAAACATCTGCGATTGGGGAAAGAAGCCTTTTATTTGTGAAGCTGAATTACTTCAGACATGAATCAACATCACTCAAGCAGGCAAGCAACGTGAAACCGCAGCAACGAAGGTCCTCATCCTCGTCTTTGTCAACAGCGTCAACAGCGTCGACAGAATGGCTTTGATTGGCCTGCAGGTGTCCGGCTGTTTGGCGAAGCCCTCTTACGGACTCCGTCTGGGCCTGTAACAGCATCCGTTCAAGCATGCTCTCGAGCCAGCTAGAAAATCACTTGTACGAGCTGATTTAGAGGAGTCCCATGTAAAACGGGTGTTCTTTGGATGTATTGTTTGAGGAATCCTTTGCGATATATCCTCCACGGGAGTCTTTATCTTGCACAGGTGGGAAAAATGCCACCTTTGCGGGCGAGCCGTCCGCCTTGTACGCCTGTTGCCCTCTTCACTGTGGTTGTGAGGGGTTCCAATAGAATCCTCCCAGGGTCGAACAGAAGCCTCTTTGGGCTGAAAACGCCCACCACTTGGCGCAAGAATCGCCTTTGCTGCGGTTGGGGCTCCATTTTGAGGGGGCGACCTTGACCACTGGACTTGTTGACTCGCGTCCCGGACCGCCTCTGCAGCGTCTGATCCGCTATCGAGTTCTGGCGACTCTGCACCAGCCTGGGGTCTCAAACTGGGCCAGTGGCCATGGGAAACGAAATGGATACCCACTGCCCCATTGGCTTGCCTGATCTTGAAAGGGAGCCCCATCCAAACAAGGATGCAAAGAGAACAAGCAAAAGTGCACCACTGCGCAACTGGAAAGATGATTGATTGAGAAAACAATTGGCAGCGCATCTCTTGATTCTTACGTTGCAGTCGGATTCCACGCACACCTCTTTGATACTTCATCACCGATGCTAAGTGCAAGGACCGTACACGTGGATGCTGGGCGAAAGGCCTCTGTAGGAGTCTCTGATGGCGGTCGAGTGGACGTCGCAGATGCGGCCTCAGCAATGCTAGAGTGTATGGTGCCACACCTGGTGCCCACACAAACATCGCTCTCACAGAGCCCTTCGGAGCATTAATTACATGTGCTTTTCATGAATGAGCCTGCTGTTTGTGGATTCAACCTCAACTTTTGAGCTCCCAAATTTTGGGTAGAACCAACTCAGCAAAAGCCAAGCCACATACCGTGAGGAGAAACAAGCCTCAATAATACTTGAGGTTGAGATGATTGAACCTCTTGAGGATCTCTGCTTCCCTCAGCTGACTGTCCTTTTTTTTTTGGATGTCCTTCGTGGGGCTCCGCGATAGATTCGCGTTCAGTGCTTGGAGTTGCTGATTAAGTCAGTCAGTCAGTCAGTCCGTCAGTCAGCCAGCCAGTCAGTCGGTCAGTCAGTCAGTCAGTCAGTCATAGTCAGGACTACCGGCAAACTGAACACAGTTCCCTCGGCTCGAGGATGTGCATCAAACTTTTCGCATTGAAAGTCATGCCATCCAACCGTATATCCAACCTAACCCGAGCAGAGTGTTATTTCAAGGATTTGAAGCAAGCAGCTAGGAAAAAGTCGTGGCCAATGCTCGGCGGTAGGAAGCTGAAACATTGAGCCTACAAACTGGAAACTGCTGAGGTCGGATTAGCGACGCCAGATTCAAAGGTGCTTGATGCTTGCCCTGTAAGCGGTTCGGCATGAGCTATGTCGAGGGATTCCTCGAAAATTGTGATCTTCTCTTCGGATCAATGCCAACTTCGAATTTCAACGAGGAGGATCATCCAGAAACAAAGCATCCCCCTCAATCGGGAAAAACAAACACTAATGAGTAAAGTCTCCACAAAAGAAGAATCAGCCCTTATGAATATGGTCCTCTGTTTCAATTAGTCTGAAGTTCATATTGTTCCAAAGCGAATCTTGGCAGGTGGATTCCATTTGGCTGTGTCAAAAAATGCGTACCGAAAATGGCTTGCCCTGGTAAATGGAACCAAAGAGGTATCTTCAAGGTGGTTTTAGTTTATTTCTTTTTTACCCATACCCATTTGATGTGGCACTGCAAAGCCACACTCAGCTTTCTGGGCGACGTACCTGTCCTGCCTTGGCGGTGGACAACGCCATCCTGGCAATCGGAAGGTGCTGACTTCATTGGAATCCAAGCCAAGGTGCGTCCAATTCTTTGACCAATGATTTGCCTGAGAAACAGCGACCCCCGGAACATCCGTGAAATTTGCTTAGAACTCATCTTCCTAGGTGTCCATCTATGTCCTTTAAAGAAGAAACGTACTGGTCAACAGGCACCCAACACCCTGCCCAAGACACATTGCTTAGGAGGAACAAATCCTACAACTAGTGGATGAACCACTGCGAGTTGGCAAGAGCCCAACACCCCAACGGGCAAGATCCTCAAGCTCAACTCCCAACCGCCAGCCCAGCTCACAACGGAGTGCATAATATACCTTCAACACCGGCAGTATCAGCGCACATGGCCCCCGCAAGTTGAGAAGGGTATTCCAACTCTGCTACAGGGGCCAGCAGGACAGTCAAAGCACTGCTGTCACAAACGAGTTTAGCCTTCTGGTTCAATGCACTCCATCACCTCAGACGTGGTCACCTGCTAAAGCCTCAAAACCCGACATAGCCTGTCGCCCATCCCCAGTCTTCAGGAAACTTGGGTTCTGCAAGGTCTTCCCTGACTCCTCCGTGTTGTCACGCCAGGGAATAGAGGCGAGTAAGCTATAATGCATACAATATACATAGGCCCTATCTGGACAGACATATACGGCCGGGCCACCGTAGCCTCCCTCCAAACATGAAAGCGCACAAACCCTTTGGAATAATACCTTCCTTCTGAAAGGGGGGCTCTGTGCACTACTTCCATTTGGTTAAGGCCAAAGGAAAAATGGCCATCAGTGATGAATTATTTTTAAACCCAACAAGGGATAATAGCAAATATTAATTTCAGCCAATGGAGGACTATGCTTGTTCACTCGCTTTTCCCTTGATCTGCGTCCGCGCGCTGTCGTCCTTGCCTTTCGCTGTCTGCCAGTTCCGCCATGGCGAAACCTCTGCAGAGGATTTTTCAGGGGCTCTGCGTGGGGAAAATGGTGAAGCTTCAGACCCTCTTGATCCAAACAAATGGGTGTGGGTCAAAAATAGGTATCCAAAATGGAACCCTGGTTGTATGGAAACGTGGACTGAAACCTGCGGTCCCCTGGTCGTTTAATCTTAACCCATCACCACATAAACATCTGCACTCACTTCGGATTTTTTTTTTAAATAAACTAACATATTGATTAATATGTGGTTTCCAGAACCATGAATAAAGCATTGGGCAATGCTATTCCAATTCTAAAATATAAACCATTGGACTCTTTGCCGACCTTAGCTGCCCTCGCATTAGGTACCTCCAAACAAATGCCTTGAGCAACTTCAATGCAAATGATTTGGGTATGGGTCAAAACTAAACCACCAGGGGACCGCAGGTTTGAGTTTTTTCCATTTACCACGGTTCCAATTGGGGTGCCTAATTTTGACCCCACACCCACTACATTCATACTCTGTAACTTAGAACGTTGACCGTTCTTGTTCTTGGCCAAAGGAAAAACCCTATGTGGATGTGAGGCGGAACACGACAAATCTTTTCCGGGACCAAGATGTGTAACTTGGAAGAGCCTTTTTTGGGGGAATGGATTAAGTTGCGAGGGGAAATGAGGAAATCCATTTCTCACGGCCCTCTTAGCATTAATGTGTGTAACTTGGAAGAGCCATTGTTTGGTTCGGGGAAATGGATTAAGAGCCGTGAGACATGAAGCTGGAGCTTAATTTTTCTCAGGCGAGGTCGTTGTGAATCGTTTCGTGACCAAAGTCGTTGATGTGCTGCTCCAAGGATGTGCCACAGCATTGATGTCACTTGAAGTAACAACACCGGCTTTCCCAACATGTACAGTAACAAGGCCGAGCGGCACAAAGCACGCACCTCATCTGCAACATCTATTTCAAAGAAGGAGATACAAACAGAAAAACAAGTAGGCGGTCTTCATCATGGGACCTGAGCTCTTATGAACCCCAAACAAGCTAATAGCTGCAACCCACGCAGATGTGGTTGCACCGTTACGACAGCAAAACAGTGTAGGACATGTAAAAAGCAGCTATCTGCCACACTTCCTCAACATGCGCTTGTCTCAATATAGATTGTGAATGCCGTGGATATAGTAAACAAGCCATCCAATGTGCTTTCCACCGCCATTGGTTCATGTGTGGCTTTGTCTTACAACAAGGTGAAGGCAAGCGTATTCCCATCCCCACATGTTGCTTTCCTTTTGAATTTCCCTGTTGAACCATCCCGCAGGGAGGTCCCCCCGTTTAGAACAACCCTACTTTGCGCGTACACTCCCCACCAGCCGCAGAACTCCCGCACTTCACCAGTCCGCGCCTGGCCAGTGGCCTGTTCCTCCAGCAATCCATCAAGCCGCGGCGGCGCGGTTGCGGGCGAGCGCATCGAAGCAATTGGAGGTTCGCACTAAAGTGGGTGCAACAGATTCCACTCGTAGGAGTCAGATCCGCCAAAGATCATGTACAGTAAGAAAAAAGGAACAAAAACAAACAACAGCCTTACCAAGTCCTACCTTCTGGCCTTCATAACTTGATGGGAATGTGTGTGTGTGGAATTCTGTGATACGTGGCAGGCTCCTTTCATTCCACCAGAGTCTCGGTGGCTCCGAAAGCCCTCAACGTTAAACCCGTGAGGGTTGGGCAATGTTTGTCAAAACAGCCAGACCTTGTTCCCCTGAGGAAATTCAACATGCGTGGTGTAAACATTCAAACACTAAAACAGCCAGACCTTGTTCCCCCCTGAAAAAAAAAAAAAAACAACAACATGCCTGGTTCAAACCAACCTGGTTGGGCCAGCCGCGCGCATCTTTTCCTAGCCATCCTCTCGGGCTTCTGCCTGGCGGCCGGATGCGCCGAAGAGAAACGCCGGCACGCCCTCGTCGGAGTCTTCCTCCAACTCGGGGGTGTTGTCCCGGTGGGGCACCTGTCAGGGTGACTCGGTTACTTTCTGCTCGGATTCTAAAAATCTAACTTTTAGTGGTTCATGGAACACCCAGTAGTTGGCAAAAAGTTAAAGTCCGAGCATCCGAGCAAAATGCACCGAAGGTCAAGTCTCTGCAAACATCGCCTGATTCACATCCTCATCAGCGGCCAATGTGCCGTGGTCTTTGTGACCCTTTCATGGGTATCCAATGCCTTAATGAAGATTTCAGACAGCCATGGGAAGGAGTCCTAGCTAGGGCATAAGGTGTTATTGAGCATGGTTCGCATATGGGGTCAACTTAAATTAAAAGAAAACCGAAAGGAGACCCGCATTTTTGGGGGGATCACCCCCCCCAATTCTAACACTTGCCCTATTATGCTTTTAGCACTTCTGCCTGTGGAGAATCCGGCACCAGCTCTGGCAAAAGCTCCTCGTCATCCTCCTCCTCCCTCTCTCGCGCAGGGCGGCTGTTCACACGATTTCGGCTCCCACGCCAGTCATGGTCAGTTTCGACCTGGGCGGGGCTTGAATCGGTAGAGACAACCCAATCATCTGCACTAAGCAATATATTTCACCTGAAGTAAGGGCCTATATGGGTGTATCTTTTCGAAACGTGAGAACTTTCAAAATGTGTTGCTGGCACGGGGGTTCGTCTCCACAGAAAAAAAAACGACTAGAAAACTCTATGAAGCACAGAAAAATGACCCCCAAAAGGTAGATGTTTAAACTGGCCTCATTATTTTACCATGATCAAAGTCACCCCCTAGGTGTTGAGTTAAAGGGAAACAACCCCATTTTCTGACTTTGACAACCCCTAGAAACGGTCAAAATAATGACCCCAGTTAAACCCATGCTAATTGTGTGAAAGGCTCAAGTCCAAGTGTCCAAGGTTCCAAAGCCAGGAGCTGATGAGAAACCACATACAATCAAAGCACATTGCATACGTGGCAGTCTATTTCAGTAGGGGGGGTTCCTCCCAACCAAAAAAGGGGTGAGACAGGGCACCTACCCCAGTAAACATCCCAATCCCCACTAAAATGGGTGGTGCATTCACCTACCAACCAGAATGGTATCCCAAAACGGTTTTGACCCGTTGGTGATACTGTGGGTGGTTGCGAAATCCATTTCGCACCACTGTGAAGCCGTGCGGAAACCATAACGTTTGTTTGATACTTACAGGGGAAGCATATTTCAGGGTTCCCTGTTTTGACCCACCCACCCCAAAATGGTAGAAAAACGGTTATGACCCACAGCCACAAAATATGGGTGGTGAATTCACCTACCAACCAAAATGGGATCCCAAGACGGTTTTGACAACCACAGCCACATGGCCATGGGTCAAAACCCAGTCCCAATCCCAACTAAAATGGGTGGTGCACCTATCCCAAAATGGGATCCCATTGGTCTTGAACCCTGGCCTGGATCCGCTTCCCTCCGCGCCTTGGGGGGCTGGGGCTTGTGGAGCCGCCCCATGGCGATCATCCGCGCTGTGGGCGGCGGCGTGCGCGCCCGGTACTGCCGCGGCCGGGTCTTGCGCTTGGCCTCGTGGTCCAAGGCCTCCAGGGAAAGGGGGGGGGGGGGGGAAGGGACTGGGGGGAGGGTCTAGGGGAAAACGGGGCATAGACTCCCCCTCTGTGGCTACCCCGTCGCTTCTTTTGCCAAGCGCCAGAGATGCTCATGGCAATCATGGGCTAGTGACCACTCCTGGCTCAAGTATGGATAGACCGACGTTCAAACAACCCTTGTTGGTCTCAAGAAAGTAAACAATACTGTGGGTGGACGAAATCCTACACCACTTTAAAACCAGAGGAAACCACTGTTTGTTGGTATTTACTGGGGAAGCATCACCCCAGGGTTTTTTAGGTGGTGCAGGAATGCGTCCATCCACAGTATGAAAAATCCACCCCTATACACAAAAGACGTGTTTTGCTGCTACCCTGCAAAAAAAGGAAACACGAGGCCCAAATTCGATTCAACTTTATGCATGGAAGAACGCAGCTGTTTTCATTTCCAGCTCTGCAAGGGGCACCAAGGATTTTGGGCACTTCTTTCGCTTCGAAAGGTGACCTCAACATAGGGAGAGCCAAGGGCACTTAGACTTGCGCTCAAGTGGCCCCGCACCTTGAGACAAGGGGGTTTGAGACAGTGAGACTAGTTGGGTGTCTTCTTTGAGGGTACCTGTCTTGGATGTGTGAAAAGGGAAACTCACGGCAACACCTGCAGTTTCGGGCGAAGAGACGTACCCATTTACTGGGGACTCCCCAATCAGATGCAAGCACGAAATGGCAAACCCATGCAAAACCTATCGCCCCTACCCTAAGAGTTTGGGGTGGCGGAACTATGGAACTTCAGGGCTCACACTCCTCCCCCAAATCCATTTTGCTGGTTGGGATTCTCGGCAACGCACGTCAATAATGACAATCGAAGGGCACTCCAACAGGTGCCCTTTGATTCTTTCTTTACAACCTCTCATTTGGCAGCAACCCACTATGGTTAGAGGGGGTTCACCACCGTTCTCAGCACCCCCTTTTTTGGCTGTGGCCCTTGCCTGAAATGACTGGGTAAGAGCGCCGTGCTCCTGAAACGAGCCGCAAAGCGACAGGCCAGCGACTGGTAACTTCTTCACTGCGAGCAGCCGGCCAACAACTATCTGCAACGATCAAGCCATGAACCTTGTCTCATTGCACCAAAGTTTGCAATCAAAAGTCCTGCTTCGTTGGAATGTTTTCGTACACACTCTCTCACCGCCTATACCTTGTCTCATTGCATCAAAGCTTGCAAGCATGAGTCTTTGTGTCTCGGAATGAACCCATCTTAAGCCAATCCACGCCAAAAAAAGATCACGCGTTGCGCAACCAACCAAGCCTGTTGTGGCATACGCTTGTCATCTTGGTTTCTTGTAGGATGGTCTTCTCTGTCTGCTCTGGTGCTGCCTCAGGGTGTCCCGTTAGTGTTGTCAGCGAGCCTTGTGGCCTCAGCGAAAATGGATGGCGTGACACTTAAGTACCTTCATCACCGGCAACAACCGTCCAACAACTAGCCACAACAATCAAGCCATGTACACACTCTCTCACCGCATATACCTTTTCTCACTGCACCAAAGCTTGCAAACACAAATCCTGCAACAATGGAAAGCACACGCATTCAGCGATTCAACACCAAACGAATCAAGCCCTGCTCGACCAGCCTTGCCTGTTGTGGCATACTCTCATCAAAACTGTTGCTGCCAACTCTTCAAGCAAAATCTTGAATCATGTTCTCCTCTGTATCCTGTCATGCTGCCTCAGGGTGTCCCGTTAGTGTTGTCAGCGAGCCTTGTGGCCTCAGCGAAAATGGATGGCGTGACACTCAAGTACCTTCATCACCGGCAACAACCGTCCAACAACTAGCCACAACAATCAAGCCATGTACACACTCTCTCACCGCATATACCTTTTCTCATTGCACAAAAGCTTGCAAACACAAATCCTGCAACATTGGAGAGCACACGCATTCAGCCATTCAACACCAAACAAATCAAGCCCTGCTCGACCAGCCTTGCCTGTTGTGGCATACTCTCATTTATATTAATATTGAATCATGTTCTCGTCTGTATCCCGTCATGCTGCCTCAGGGTGTCCCGTTAGTGTTGTCAGCGAGCCTTGTGGCCTCAGCGAAAATGGATGGCGTGACACTTGAGTACCTTCATCACCGGCAACAACCGTCCAACAACTAGCCACAAAAATCAAGTCACGTAAACACCCTCTCACCGCATATACCTTCTCTCATTGCACAAAAGCTTGCAAACACAAACCTGCAACATTGTGAATGCACGCGCATTCAGCCATTCAACGCCAAACACATCAAGCCCTGCTCGACCAGCCATGCCTGTTGTGGCATTCGCTTGTCACCTTGGTTTGTACTTTCAGATTTCAAGCACCATTTTGAATCATGTTCTCCTCTGTATCCTGTCATGCTGCCTCAGGGTGTCCCGTTAGTGTTGTCAGCGAGCCTCGTGGCCTCAGCGAAAATGGATGGCGTGACACTTAAGTACCTTCATCACCGGCAACAACCGTCCAACAACTAGCCACAACAATCAAGCCACGTAAACACGCTCTCACCGCATATACCTTTTCTCACTGCACCAAAGCTTGCAAACACAAATCCTGCAACAATGGAAAGCACACGCATTCAGCGATTCAACACCAAACGAATCAAGCCCTGCTCGACCAGCCTTGCCTGTTGTGGCATACTCTCATCAAAACTGTTGCTGCCAACTCTTCAAGCAAAATATTGAATCATGTTCTCCTCTGTATCCTGTCATGCTGCCTCAGGGTGTCCCGTTAGTGTTGTCAGCGAGCCTTGTGGCCTCAGCGAAAATGGATGGCGTGACACTCAAGTACCTTCATCACCGGCAACAACCGTCCAACAACTAGCCACAACAATCAAGCCATGTACACACTCTCTCACCGCATATACCTTTTCTCATTGCACAAAAGCTTGCAAACACAAATCCTGCAACATTGGAGAGCACACGCATTCAGCCATTCAACACCAAACAAATCAAGCCCTGCTCGACCAGCCTTGCCTGTTGTGGCATACTCTCATCTATATTATTGCTGTCAACTGTTCAAGCAAAATCTTGAATCATGTTCTCCTCTGTATCCTGTCATGCTGCCTCAGGGTGTCCCGTTAGTGTTGTCAGCGAGCCTTGTGGCCTCAGCGAAAATGGATGGCGTGACACTTGAGTACCTTCATCACCGGCAACAACCGTCCAACAACTGGCCACAAAAACCAAGTCACGTAAACACCCTCTCACCGCATATACCTTTTCTCATTGGACAAAAGCTTGCAAACACAAACCTGCAACATTGTGAATGCACGCGCATTCAGCCATTCAACGCCAAACACATCAAGCCCTGCTCGACCAGCCATGCCTGTTGTGGCATTCGCTTGTCATCTTGGTTTGTACTTTCAGATTTCAAGCACCATTTTGAATCATGTTCTCCTCTGTATCCTGTCATGCTGCCTCAGGGTGTCCCGTTAGTGTTGTCAGCGAGCCTCGTGGCCTCAGCGAAAATGGATGGCGTGACACTTAAGTACCTTCATCACCGGCAACAACCGTCCAACAACTAGCCACAACAATCAAGCCATGTACACACTCTCTCACCGCATATACCTTTTCTCATTGCACAAAAGCTTGCAAACACAAATCCTGCAACATTGGAAAGCGCACGCATTCAGCCATTCAACACCAAACAAATCAAGCCCTGCTCGACCAGCCATGCCTGTTGTGGCATACTCTCATCTATATTATTGCTGTCAACTTTGCAAGCACTATCTTGAATCATGTTCTCCTCTGTATCCTGTCATGCTGCCTCAGGGTGTCCCGTTAGTGTTGTCAGCGAGCCTTGTGGCCTCAGCGAAAATGGATGGCGTGACACTTCAGTACCTTCATCACTGGAAGCAGCCGTCCAACAACTAGCCACAACAATCAAGCCATGTACACACTCTCTCACCGCCTATACCTTCTCTCATTGCATCAAAGCTTGCAAGCATGAGTCTTTGCGTCTCGGAATGAACCCATCTTCAGCGAATCCACGCCAAAAAAAGATCACGCGTTGCGCGACCAACCAAGCCTGTTGTGGCATCCGCTTGTCATCTTGGTTTCTTGTAGGATCATCTTCTCTGTATCCTGACATGCTGCCTCAGGGTGTCCCGTTAGTGTTGTCAGCGAGCCTTGCGGCCTCAGCGAAAATGGATGGCGTGACACTTAAGTACCTTCATCACTGGGAGCAGCCGTCCAACTAGCCGAAACGATCCACCCATGTAGGCATCCATCGACATGCGCACACCTTCTCTCATTACATGGAAAGCAAACACAAGTCCTGCAACTTTGGAATGCACACGCATATCCTCTCATCTATATTATTGCTTCCAACTGTTCAAATACAATTTTAAATCATGTTATCCATTGTATCCTGTCATGCTGCCTCAGGGTGTCCCGTTAGTGTTGTCAGCGAGCCTCGTGGCCTCAGCGAAAATGGATGGCGTGACACTTAAGTACCTTCATCACCGGCAACAACCGTCCAACAACTAGCCACAACAATCAAGCCATGTACACACTCTCTCACCGCATATACCTTTTCTCATTGCACAAAAGCTTGCAAACACAAATCTTGCAACATTGGAAAGCACACGCATTCAGCCATTCAACACCAAACAAATCAAGCCCTGCTCGACCAGCCATGCCTGTTGTGGCAGACTCTCATCTATACTATTGATGTCAACTGTTCAAGCAAAATATTGAATCATGTTCTCGTCTGTATCCTGTCATGCTGCCTCAGGGTGTCCCGTTAGTGTTGTCAGCGAGCCTTGTGGCCTCAGCGAAAATGGATGGCGTGACACTTGAGTACCTTCATCACCGGCAACAACCGTCCAACAACTAGCCACACAAATCAAGCCATGGACACACTCTCTCACCGCCTATACCTTCTCTCATTGCATCAAAGCTTGCAAGCATGAGTCTTTGTGTCTCGGAAAGAACCCGTATTCAGCCAATCCACGCCAAAAAGAGATCACGCGTTGCGCGACCGACCAGGCATACGCTTGTCATCTTGGTTTCTTGTAGGATGGTCTTCTCTGTCTGCTCTCGTGCTGCCTCAGGGTGTCCCGTTAGTGTTGTCAGCGAGCCTTGTGGCCTCAGCGAAAATGGATGGCGTGACACTGAAGTACCTTCATCACTGGAAGCAGCCGTTCAACAACTAGCCACAACAATCAAGCCACGTAAACACCCTCTCACGGCACATACCTTCTCTCATTGCACCAAATCTTGCAAGAACGAGTCTTTGTGTCTCGAAATGCGCCCATATTCAGCCAATCCACGCCAAACGATCACGCGTTGCGCGACCAACCAAGCCTGTTGTGGCATCCGCTTGTTATCTTGGCTTCTTGTAGGATGATCTTCTCTGTATCCTGTCCTGCTGCCTCAGGGTGTCCCGTTAGTGTTGTCAGCGAGCCTTGTGGCCTCAGCGAAAATGGATGGCGTGACACTTCAGTACCTTCATCACTGGAAGCAGCCGTCCAACAACTAGCCACAAAAATCAAGCCATGGACACACTCTCTCACCGCCTATACCTTCTCTCATTGCATCAAAGCTTGCAAGCATGAGTCTTTGTGTCTCGGAATGAACCCATATTCAGCCAATCCACGCCAAAAAGAGATCACGCGTTGCGCGACCGACCAGGCGTACGCTTGTCATCTTGGTTTCTTGTAGGATGGTCTTCTCTGTCTGCTCTCGTGCTGCCTCAGGGTGTCCCGTTAGTGTTGTCAGCGAGCCTTGTGGCCTCAGCGAAAATGGATGGCGTGACACTGAAGTACCTTCATCACTGGAAGCAGCCGTCCAACAACTAGCCACAACAATCAAGCCACGTAAACACCCTCTCACGGCACATACCTTCTCTCATTGCACCAAAGCTTGCAAGCACGAGTCTTTGTGTCTCGAAATGCGCCCATATTCAGCCAATCCACGCCAAAAGATCACGCGTTGCACGACCAACCAAGCCTGTTGTGGCATCCGCTTGTTATCTTGGCTTCTTGTAGGATGATCTTCTCTGTATCCTGTCCTGCTGCCTCAGGGTGTCCCGTTAGTGTTGTCAGCGAGCCTTGTGGCCTCAGCGAAAATGGATGGCGTGACACTTCAGTACCTTCATCACTGGAAGCAGCCGTCCAACAACTAGCCACAACAATCAAGCCACGTACACACCCTCTCACGGCACATACCTTCTCTCATTGCACCAAAGCTTGCAAGCACGAGTCTTTGTGTCTCGAATGCGCCCATATTCAGCCAATCCACGCAAAAAAAGATCACGCGTTGCGCGACCAACCAAGCCTGTTGTGGCATACGCTTGTCATCTTGGTTTCTTGTAGGATGGTCTTCTCTGTCTGCTCTCGTGCTGCCTCAGGGTGTCCCGTTAGTGTTGTCAGCGAGCCTTGTGGCCTCAGCGAAAATGGATGGCGTGACACTTCAGTACCTTCATCACTGGGAGCAGCCGTCCAACAACTAGCCACAACAATCAAGCCTTGTAGGCATCCATCGACATGCGCACACTTTCTCTCATTGCATAGAAAGCAAACACAAGTCCTGCAACTTTGGAATGCACACGCATATCCTCTCATCTATATTGTTGCGTCCAACTGTTCAAATACAATTTTGAATCATGTTCTCCATTGTATCCTGTCATGCTGCCTCAGGGTGTCCCGTTAGTGTTGTCAGCGAGCCTTGCGGCCTCAGCGAAAATGGATGGCGTGACACTTAAGTACCTTCATCACTGGGAGCAGCCGTCCAACAACTAGCCAAACGATCCAGCCATGTAGGCATCCATTGCATTCTCATTGCACAAAAGCTTGCAAACACAAGTCCTGCAACTTTGGAAGGCACGCGCATTCAGCCATTCAACACCAAACAAATCAAGCCCTGCTCGACCAGCCATGCCTGTTGTATTGTTGTCTCTTCCGCTTGTCATCGTTGTTTCAACTTTCAGATTTCAAGAATCATCTTGAATAATGTTCTTCTCTGCATCCTGTCATGCTGCCTCACAGTGTCCCGTTACTGTTGTCAGCGAGCCTGGTGGTCTCAGCGAGAATGGATGGCGTGACACTCTGCGGCCCTGATCTTGAAGATGAAGCCACAAAACCAGCCCAAATTGCCACAAACCTGCCCAATTTCAACAGTTGGCTGTGGAATGTCAAGATTAGAACTGGCGAAAGAGGAATCTCGCCATGGTCGGATTTGTGCGTGATCCTCAGCGCCATCAGATCTTTTGCATAGAGACGTATCTGCGCCACTGGACAAGCCTTTTGTTGCTCAAAGTTGACAGGAACGCGGCTAAAGCTTTGAGTAGTGTGATCATCAAATTGAATTTGTGGTGCAGATGTGATATTTTAGGGCGACTAAATATGGGCCATTTGAACATGCTGCATTGAACAAGCTCTTGCAAGTACCAAAACCCATGACCCCACACACATCGACACGATACCATCCCCTGAGCACACATGACACAACTGGGTGGGAAGCGCCTTAGACAGCACAATTGTCAGGCTTCCCTCGCGTCCGTCCATCGCCATTTAGAACCACAGACCAAGGAGCCACGAAGGTCTAATAGCGATCATTGGTGGCGGTTGGGGGGCCCATTCCTGGCAACTTGGAGCCATAGAGGCTCATAGACCAAAAGCCTATCTTGGGTCATATGGATACGGGGATCAAGTATGAGACAGTGAATGGGGGGCTTTTTTCAACATGAAAGGGTGCTTGATTCCTCTGCCAGACACCTTCCCGCTGCAGGCATGTTGCGAGAAGCGAGGCATGGTGAATTCGTGAAACCGACTCGATTTCCTGTGCACAACCTTCCAGGACTCGACATTCCGAAACCCAGAGGTCCTGCTTCATGTCTTGGTAGACCTGGCAAACGGATCAGCACGGCTGGTTTGCACGCGGAATTGGGAATTTTCGAGTTTTCCCCAACTGCTGAAAGCTAAGGGGTCTCAGCCCGGACAAGGTTTGGGGGCTCGGGGGAGCTCTGGAGTCCGGTTCGAGCAAGGTTCCGGAGGTTCCGGGGTGGTCTGGTGGTCTGGTGGTCTGGTGCAGGCCAGGTATAAGGTTCAAGGAAGGTTCTGGAGGTTTCGGGTGGTCTGGTGCAGGCCAGGTGTAAGGTTGCAGCATGTTACAGCAAGGTCGTCTGGCTCAAGCAAGGTTTCGGAGGTTTGGTGGAGGCCAGGTGAAGGTTCCGCAAGGGTTCTGAAGTAAGATTTCACAGGGTCCGCGAGGGTCGCAAAAGAGCAGCTGAGAAACGCCAAGCACATCCAAGCACTGAGCAAGCTGCCATTCTTGAATCTGGGGCTGTTGTGACATACATGTTGTTTATTTCAAGCATTTGCTGCCATTTCTGAATTTGGGGCTGTAGTGTGACCTGGGGCGGAGACGGCAGCCAGGTGCAAGAGCAGCTGAGAATGTCCAGCACATCCAAGCAACTGAGCAAGCATTTGCTGCAATTTTCTTGAATCTGGGGCTGTAGTGTGACTTGGGCTCACGCAGATATGGGCAGAGACAGCAGCCGGGTGCAAGAGCAGCTGAGAAACGCCCAGCACATCCAAGCAACTGAGCAAGCTGCCATTCTTGAATCTGGGGCTGTAGTGACCTTGCTGCACCGGCTTTTTCCTTTAAAGCTTCCCCGCCTGCAGGTAGTCGAGGTGGGCCTGGATCAAGAGCTCTGCGGACTCCATTTGTTCCGGGAGACCCATCAACTGCAAGGCCTAGCCATGGCCGTCTCTCCGATTCGTCCGAGTCGATGGCTCGTCTTCTCAGGGTACCGTGCTGGCATGGATAGAAACGGGAAGCTAAAAGGAAACAAACGGCTTATTGGGGCTTTCACCGTTTTTAAGACACCAAATCACTGAGGATATTTTTTGGGTTCCCTTTAAAGTTGTCTTTCAGGGGTCCCTCAAGCGTTTTCACAGTTTGGCTTTGAAGGAGCGAGTTCGTCTCGAAATCGGGGGGTGCTGGATTCGGGGGTCGTGATGTCGTCAATCAGAAACAAGGGCGGTTGGTCCAGGAATGCAGACTGGATTGATTTGTTCTTTAGTGCCCATCCCCTGTTGGTATCCTTTAGTGGAAAATGAACATCATTTTGCTACGTGACCCGGTAGCAACCAGGTACCCTGGTGAACATAGGTAATCATTTCTGTTTGAGGCCTATCTTGTTTTTTTTAGCAGCAACCCACCAAATCGAAAGGGACTTAGCTGGTGTTATTGAACGAAGAGCAGCCTTGGTTGTCTGAGGTTTAGCTGCAAAATCGATGTGACATCATCCCCTCTACCTTCAGGAGGAGGGGTGGGGGGTCCCCAATTCCATTTATCTAGTCTTCCCCACAAAGGGAAAATGGGGGTGGGGATGTGACATCCAAGGACTTTGAAGAGACTCGGGATTCTCTCGTGCGAATCTCCAACCACCGGCTTCTTGCTTTCACGGTTTTCACCCGCTGTGTACCTGCCATGACAGCCATGACTTTCCCGGAAGCACCGCGCAAGGCTACCCCGTCGCTTCTTTTGCCAAGCGCCAGAGATGCTGGCACATGGGCTAGTGACCACTCCTGGCTCAAGTATGGATAGACCGACGTTCAAACAACCCATGTTGGTCTCAAGAAAGGTTAAACAATGCTGTGGATGGACGAAATCCTGCACCACTTTGAAATGGGAAACCATTGTTTGTTGCTATTTTCAGGGGAGTCATCATTCCAGCTGTTTGCTTCCCTTTACAGAAGCCCAAAGGCTACTTCTTCAAACACCCAATGCGGCAGCCCGCCTGGGATTGCTGGTCATAGCGCATGCTCAGCAAGCCCGCCTCACGAGCTCACTTCATGAAACCCATGGCATTTGCATGGCTGTGTCTCAACACAATGGTCAGTTCTTCTTTTGGTTGCCTCACCCCCAAAACAAAAACACCCATATATATATATATATTATATATATATATATATGTTGGTTGACCGGAGTTTGCGTTCTGCCCTCCCTTTCAAGAAAGGAGCCTCCCCCAACGTGTTCAAAAGGTCCGACACAACCGCTGGCACAGGGTTCGCCCCTGCTTTGCAAGCTAATCATCTAAATCAGCTGGTCCAAGTGATGGTTCACCGGCCCAAATGTATCCTTTAACAAACCCGCTGATATGCCCAGGTTATCTATTGCGGGGAAGGTTACACCAGTCATTACAGTACTTCCAGTCATTCTGCAGCCCTGGAAGGCTACTGTTCCTTTTGGAAACGGATCTGTGCGCTTCCACCGTCCCTCCGCAAGCCGCTCGCAACGCTCAGCGGTCCAATTTTCGGCATCTCAGCCGATCCGCTCGGCCTGCGGAATGGGGACGAGAGGGAATGGGATCAAAGAAATGGACGGAATCCTTAAGCACTGCAAGGGAGCCAACATGATTACGAGAACCAGCAAACCCGGGCAGACACTGGACAATTCTAGGGTTGGAACAAGTCTGGGTGAAATATGAATCCCAAAAATAGGGGCCCCATGCAAGTGCTTGCCCGCTTGAGTTGCATTCAAAACCCATCGAGCGGCTTCCAACAAATGCCGCTTTCACACGGACACACACGCCCGCACATCGATAGGGGTTAGATACTCGTGAATTGTCAGAGTTACCACGCGAATCGACGTTGGGAAGTGTTGGCTTCCCGCATGTTGAAAATACTGGCAATCTCGCTTGGGACCATTTCACAAGGACACCACCACAACCTTCCAAATGAGTGCAGTCCATTGCTGGATTTGACAAAGGTATTTCCTTTGCATGTGAGTGGATTGTTGAGGCTGCATTCTGACGTGTGGACATGCAGGGCTTTTCAGAATCTGGTAGTATCCTTGGAACGCAGCAAATGCAAACCCACAACCTCGCTGCCAAGGAATGAAGCCAATCACACCCCGCCATGGATCTCCCTGGCTTGATGAGTAGCCGCCTGAAGGTATATCTTGTTTGTCGATTCTGGTGTTTTTTCCTCACCGAGATGCTCACTGCTTGAGAAAGAAAAAGTCTGGTCACGTCGCAAAAAGGCATCCAAAATCATGGCGTGCCTTCCGAGCCTACACTTGAGCAAACAGACCCTGTCCAAGACGTTCTGAACTCTGAGCACCTTGAATCAGGGTCTCCCTTCACCTGAAGATGAAGTTGAAAGGAAAGCACACTCCCTTGTCATGGCATGTGCTCGATTCCCGCCTCCAAGATCTCCCGTTCTTTGGCTGCCTGAGCAAATGTGGCTCATTTCAGGAGCTTCACACTCTACCCCGACGGGGCCGAGTGTGCGTCAGCATTTGCTAGCTCGGATGCAATCCCGACTAGGTCCCAAATTCCTTTCCGCAAAATCTCACGAATTGTGTATTGCCGGATCTGTGAATTTGTTGATTGTCGGAAACCATGGCCCAGGAAAGAGCGTATATTACGTGGTTGCTTCTTTGGAAGTCTTCGATGTGTGGAAAAAAGACCGACGGAACCTGTATTGGAATCAGCTCGAAAAGGAACAACAAGTGCTGCTCCATGAGCAGGCAATGTGCCAAAGCCCGTGGGACACCGCTACAAATGGATAGATCAATTGGATATTTACCTCAGGTTTATATAGTTCGCGCCATGTAACTGTGTGCACGTTTTCTTCACTGACGTCCCTATGCTGTCGGTCATAGCCTTCGGAGCCTCCTTCCATTGATTTGGCAACGCATGTCGTATATAAATAAATATGTATATATACATATATACATATTCACGTATAATATTGTTTTAGTATGCGACACAGTTGTACGCGCTTATGTACTTGCCCGAAGCTCATGTTTATTCCGGGGCACAACATTATGTTTGTTCTTGTTTACATTAGTTGATTCTTTATGTTGCTCTCGCCCGAATTTTCACATCGGGCACATCAGACTCGAGCTCAACCAACAAACATATGCTTATCTCAACACCGGAGAGCCAAGTGGGAAACAATTGATCAACCTCCATTGGTTGAGAGTTTCCCTACCTCATTACAAACCCACATCTTAGCAAAGCGTGGCCAAAGTCCAAGCTACTGCAATCGAGTGAAAGCTGCAGTTGATTCCCTAGATATTGCAAGTAAATAGATTCATGCACTCCACTGCATGTGCCAGCTGGGAGTCAAATGCGTTGCGAGGCTTATACACGTATGAGGTGTGTCCCGAGTCGCCTCACGCTCGCGCTTTTGTGCAGCAGCAGCCAATTCCTCCACCTTGAGCATCTTGGCCTATGCAATGCAGCGCAGAACACAACCGCGGTTGACATGTGCATTGTTTGGACCCAGGTTTCATGCTGGCCTTAGAATGTGGTCCAACACATGGTTATCCCATAGTGGCCACCGCCCAATGTGGTAGATGCGGACACCCAGGATTCCCAAGCTCCCAACTCTGGACATGATGTATATATGACAAGCCATGCTTACGATGGACACTCCTTGAAGCTTTTCATGGGAAATGCGCGCCTCTATAAGCCCAGGTCTCCCTTGGAGGGAGACATATGGCCATGAAACAAAAAAGAAAAGAACCTGGCAAATGCATAGGATGCTCCCTTGAACTTTTCAACATGATTAGGATCGCATGGGTTGTCAACCCGACAGGTCGATTTATCAACTGATTCACATGAAGGACATAGCCTTTGCCCAAGGAGGGAGAATGGGTCAACCCCCAAGCCAGCCAAGTCTACGTCTAGTAGGGCTCTAATCTCAAAGTATGTCAAACAACATTGGAAATATCTGTGAAATCACTTGCAGTCCCTCACCCTTCACAGTGAAAAAACAAGAACGGGGATTGGAGTGACAAAAGGGGATGCTGGTCAATACGGGGGGATACCAAAATGGGGGGGCGGAGGGGAGGGGTTCAAGTTGGTTTCCGGTTACCATAAGCAAACTAACACAACCGTTAATTCCATGCCCTGCTGTTTTTTTCTGTAGAAATCAACAAGTACGTATTTATCACCCAAATGTTTTTTCTCAAAATGGGAAACCAACAAACTGGCCGGTTTCCCTCCAAGCCGCAAATGAGTGAGTACCGTACACCGAGATACCTACGAATGTTCACGCCAACATCGTGCATATCCTGACCCAAGCCAGGCAAGACTGCCATAGCCAGAGAACTCTGTTGAGTAAAGCGGCTCATTTACTCACTTGCAACCACCAGAATCTGGTTGCATACACGGTGATCACCCTTTGGGGTCACTAAAACTGATTGCCAACGCGGGGGAAGAAAAAGGTCGGTTCACCTTGGTTGATGGCAAGTTTCATTGTGGGGATGTATATCCACCAACCATGCTTGAGGGTGTTGTTCCCGGTTAAAGATCAGCCCTTGCAATGTCGGTCCATCAGGGTCGCTTTTTTTGACCCCTTGAAACATCGCCCCCAAACGGAACTGGCCGCTTTTAGAAACGGCCTAAAGTTACGATCCACCGAGAACAACTTGATGGTTCTCAGCGGGCAATGAGGGAACAACCCCTGTCAACCATCCCTTGCGGCTTCTTTTCACGGGATCCCAATTCCCAAATCAATTACCCTCTCTCCCACTAACATGGCACCTGAAACGGGGTCCCTCCAAGAAGAACTTGATCTTCCAGGTACCCTCCCACAGGTGCCAGTTGGAGGGAGGGTAAAATGTCCTACCGAGAACCAGCAGAAGGAGAAACGCCACGAGCCCTTGCCATCTCGCGGCACTGCCTGCGACTCTTCCCTTGCCTGGCCGGGTGGGCTGGTATACGCCGAAGTGTTCATATGTGTCTTTAAAAGTGGGCACCCCTCAATGGTGGCACTTTCTGGTCAATTAAGCAAAAAAACACAAACGCATCAACAGGACTATTACTCACTGCCCTCGCGGCTTACAATCATTTGGCCACACAAGGCTCGGCAGCCTTGCCAGGCGTTCCACGTCAATGTGGATTCATCTTGAAACCTGCTTTTTCAAACAAACATGCGCTGGGTGAAGGTATGCTAACTTTAGTTCTCTTTAATGCGGGGAAGCACCGGGGTTGGACTCAACCAACATCTCGGGAAATTGTGCCATCTACAGCTAGCTGAAACGCGCTCGACTATAAGTAGTGACAAGTCTTAGACTGCGCAACGCAAACCGTGCCTTTTCCTGCTATTTCTTCATTCATGTCTTCGGGTTTTAAGCGGCCAACCGCGAGGGTAGAAAACAGACCAGTGTTGCTGCTGTTGCTGTTGTGGGACAACTTCAGATCCCCTTTACTTACAGTCAGCGATTCACTGCTTGACCACGAAGCCAGCAATAGAGGGTACGACAGGGAGGTTCACCACCGAGTGAAGCCTGGAGGTAGGTAACTGCATACTATGGCTTGCCTGGAAGCATTGCTTGCGCTGATATTGTTTTTTTCGCTAAGGGGGGGGGGCGGGCATTGGGGACAGGTCCGGAGTAATCCAAGGTCAACAGTATAACACAGCAACCAGCAGACCAATTTCGAGAGGTATAGGGGGGTTCGTATTGACGGCATGTGAGTTTCTGGTGGATAAGATGGCACATACAGCCGATTTTTGAAGATTTTGGGTGTGAAGACTAAAGTAGTATTCGGGAGGCCTAAAAATCTTAGGGTCAAACATTTTCCTACGTGCCACGAACGCGAACCCGCCCTTTAGCCACTAGCCTCTGCTGCCTGGAAAGCTCGCAGCAATCTTGAATTCTGGTGTAGTTGCAGGGTGTGCAATGAATGAACGCACGGGGTGGGGCCCTAGCTGCGCGGGCGACCCAAGAATCACCGGCCATATCTGCTCTCACCCAGAAGCCAAGTTTTGACAAGGGGCCCGGCTCGTGTGCCATCTTTGCGCTAGCAAAAAAGTTCACCGA